GACAAGATGAGGGGATTTTATATGAATGAATCGTTTTTTTACCGATGCAAAGACGTTACGCAATCGATGCATCGCGAGTTCAACCCGGTTCAACCCAAACTGTAGCCGATGTGCACTCTTTCAACCGGTGCACTCGCATCTTGAACGTTTATGCCGATGCGAATCGGTGAATCTTAACATCTCTAGTACACACACACAAGGGGAGTTAGTCGGTTCCGTGAGAGCCAGCATGCGGGACCGGGATTTGTAGTCTTTCTAGTTGCGTATTTTTCATAGTCTTATATTTCAACAGTTTTACGACAAACTGTGACTTTTTTGACACGGAAATGATTTGTTAAGATTGACAAACATCATATGTGTAATTCGTGGCACAATTCAAACGGGATCGAAAGATACGTTTTCTCTCTCCATCGACTTCAATACATCCTTTTCAGAAATAAGGTCCCATGGAGCGGAAGCAGATGGGCGGGACTTCGCCACTCTATCCCTAAAGACTTCCATCTAATGTTCACCTCTGTGACCCGAGTGGATGCTATCAGTTTGAAATGACTGCAATATTAGCATATTGTATTTATTTTGACCAATCATGCTATTTCTTATACATTTTAAGACCCCACACTGGAAGTAGAATGTTGCTGCTGCAGTAGCATAATATGTCTTGATTATGTGCGTCGTGCAGACTGCAGAGTTGGCCCTGTCCAATCTGAAAATGAAGTACGAGACGGAGAAGAGCATGGTGTCAGAGACCATGATGAAACTGCGCAACGAGCTAAAGGCCCTGAAGGAAGACGCTGCCACCTTCTCTTCCCTGCGAGTCATGTTTGCCAGCCGGTAAGTTGTTGTTTGTATGAGGAATATATTTACCTGTTTATATTTGAGTAGAAACAAACCTGTATTTATGTTATGCTCTGAGACAGTACTTTTTGAATTGCTGCTAAATGTGTTTGAGCTAAAACATGCTAATCGGTTCCAATCGTCTGATGCGTGCCTCTTTGCTCGTGTTGTTCATGCTTAGTAATGATACTCTTGCAGTGGCACAGCTTCTCCTGCCACTCGTGTAATAAGCTTACCGTGCTTATTACGTCTGTGGACAATCCACTGGTTCACGTGAAGATTATCAGCCACGTGCTCTGCCCTGTGCCGATGGGGGGGAGGGGGGGAAGGAGGTGAGCCAGATCACCTGAGGGAAGGAGTTTAATGTCAGTGGGAGAAGACCATAAATGGCGTGGGAAGGTGCACGGTTAAACTTCAATCCCTCAACTCGACCACTAACCTCTTAGTGAGAATCTGTTTGGCATGGATTAACGTTTGGAGTGTTTTTGTGTTGAGTGATCTAATGTTTATTTTCTTAGTAATGGACAGCAGGCATTGTTATTTATGAATCAACAGAGACGCTCTTTAGACGTGCATTACCTCTCTAAGCCCTCTCCAGACGGCTAAGAGCTGGAATATGATTCTCTTTAAGAAGGATGGAGAAGGCAGTGAGGTGAAGGAAGACTACAGGCTGAACATTAAAAGAGCCTCTTGTTTATAATGGGGGGGTTGGGCTGCCATCTTGTGGACAGCTGTAGTTACTGCATGTGTACCCTTTCAAACCATTCAAATGGATTTATATTACATACACTTATGTTCAGGGGGTCCGCGGGGTCTTAAGAAGTATTACAAGTTGATCAATCAATTTAGTGAAAATGAAGGCTATTAAAAAGTATTGAACGGTATTTTCCAAGGTATTACATTTTGTAGCTTGTTTTCAATAAGTATATGAATTGTCCAAAGAGGTTGTATTCTACAGTCTGCCTGAATGTAATCATTGCGTAGGTGTGTAGTGTGATTCTGTGTAGTTTATTGATGGCATCCCGTTGGATCTGACGTCATCTGAACAGGACATCGCACGCTCACTGCTTGATAGCACGCGAAGGTCCGTTTACGCCGGTTGCTAAACAACATCGTTATGGGGAAATGCAAGTTTGCGTCCAAATGGTTGGAAGATAAGGAGGAAGGACAATCAATACTGTATATAGTCAATGTGAGGTAAAGTGTGTCGCCAAGTTAACCGGTTAGAACTCAAAGTGGCGATGAGGTCTTAAAATGTATGGGAAGGGTCTTAAAAAAGTGGTATTACATTTGACTTCAGGATCCCTGCGTATACCCTAGTGCTATATCACTGAATTTCCCCAGAGGTAATTAATAAAGTATGTCTTTATCTTAACCTTAGGAAGCTTTATTTTTGCACCAGCTTCTCAAACATTGATTTGCAGAAGCATTAGGCGCTTTCACACCGGAGTACTTTTCCCGTTTAGTTCCAATAGTTCTTGGGATTTTGCGTTCACACCAAAAAGAGAACTCAGTTCATGAGAACTTTCCCCCCCTTTTCAGTCCCTGCTAGAGAGCAGGGACTTTCCTGGGGAGAAAAAAGTTCCAATTTCTGATTGGCTGGGCGAATTGAAAACCACGCCCCGTAAAACTCTGAAAAGTAGAAGCTGCTGGGACTCCCAGCAGCTTCTACTGAAGCCAGTCCCCAACTCCGGGGACTTCCGGCCGGGGACTTCGGGTGGCAGTGTACGCCGTGAAGTGGTTTGCGGCCTGCCAGTAAACCCAAAGCAGAAGAAGAAGAAGTGACGTCAGCGGCTTCATTTGCCTAATCCACCCTCAGGGACTTATTCCGGTGTGAAGGCGATCTGGGCTTAGTTCCCTGCGGGGTCCCAAGTGCTGAGCAATAAGTACGGCAAAGTACTTGGTGTGAAAGCGGCTATTGATGCTCACCAAACATTTACATTTTCATTTACATGCTACAAGATTAGTATTAATCATTGTTTTAGAGTCTCGAGCACAACTGTTTGTATCAAGTATGTAGGCAAGCATCTCAACAGACAATGAATGAGTACTTACAGACATAAAAGGCCCTTGGATTTCCATCAGGGAGAGTTCATGAACAGAGGAGACAACCCATGTGCTCCATAGGCAGGAAACAGGAAACTATGGCAAGCCTACGTGGACACACTGTGCATAGTTCATTTTTATTTATATGCAATGCCTTTTTTCATGGAGCTGTTACAAAAAGAATATGATTTTATAAAACATAGATAGAAACAGATTGTGATCTAGTGTCTGTCCACAGCTGGTGTTTAAAGCTTGAAGTGATGTTTAGCATGTGTTTTGTGTGTCTCTCACTCTGTGCATTAACTGGTTTTTGCCTGCTTGTGCACGTTGCATCTCCTCCCTGTGTGACACCTCTCAGGTGTGACCAGTACGTCACGCAGCTGGACGAGATGCAGAGGCAGCTGGCGGCGGCCGAGGACGAGAAGAAGACCCTGAACTCCCTGCTGCGGATGGCCATTCAGCAGAAGCTGGCTCTCACTCAGCGCCTGGAGGACCTGGAGACCCCTCTGTCTCCTCACAGCCTCAACAGCAGCCCCCGCCGCTCCCGGGCCAAAGAGCTGGCCACCAAGTCGGGTCGGGCTGCACGAAGCCCCCGAAGCAGTCCCGCTCGCCCCCCGCTGAGGAGCAGCCCCCGGGCGAGTCCTGTGCTCGGAGGCAGCGTCTCCGGCCTGGCCACGCACCACCTGAGAGGGTTAACCCGGAGCCTCCACACCAGCCCCGTAAGCACTCTCTCTCTCTGTCCCGACACAAGCAGCCCCGTAAGCCCCGCTCTCTCTCTCTGTCCCCGCTCTCGTAGAGGGAAAGCTCTCCCGCGCGACGCCACCTTCATTAGGAGTCATAGCGTCAGCGACGTTTCTAACACAGAGTTGAGTTCCGACTACTCCCAGTCGCGTAAAAGCTCCATCAGTTCTGTGCAGAGCGAGTTAACGCTAACACAAGTAAGTCATTCAAGAAAAGGTCATTCGGGGAGGAGGTCTTCGGTCCCTGTACGTCAGGACACCTTCATCACAACTCGTGTTGGAGCCGCCTCTTCCGCCAGGAGGAAGACCTCCATGTATTCTTCAGCCGTAGATCCTCTAACCTCTTTTAAAGCCTTGCGTGTGAATCCTAACACATCTAATGCACGGGGCGAAAGTAAACAGAAGCCTGATCTTAAACCAAACTCCGATACTTCTGTTAGAAGAAAACCGTCGGGTTACAGGTCTAATTCTGTGCAGGCAGCAGCTGCCAACACCTTTCAGTCCGACACGGTCAGATCTCCCGCTGTTCTCGAGCCGGTCGGTAAGACCAGGATGAGCGGCATCTGCAGGGAGTCCCGGCGTAGGTTAGCCTCATCGAGCAGAACCAATGAGGAGCCGCCGCTCACTAATGTTAGCAGGAGCTCTGGAAATAAAGTTCAAGGGACGCCTTCGAGGCCCCGCAGCTCACACTCTAGATCAACTCGCAGGCCTTGAGATGAAATAAGAGATAACAGAAGATATGTGTTGATCACCGTAGGGGAGTGCACACGTTAAAGCAGCAGCTGGTATCATATTGAAACTCAGGATGGGACAGGTAAGAGTTCACACAAGGGTAACAACAACACAAGATAGAGAATGTCAATAACAAACATATATACAGAAACGAATAATAAAGAATATCATAAATAAGTTGCGGTTAAATCCTTGGCTCTGATTTATACTAAACTGCTTGAGTTATGGTTTTACAAAATAAGCCATTCTTTACCCATAAGATCATAAATAAGCAATCTGAATAATTTGCACAGATTTTATTCAGAGCTATTGAAGTTAAACATTTTAGCTTTTACACATCTCATAATTAATGTATATATACTTTAAAGACCCTCATTTGATGACCCTCCATGTTATGTCTATATGTATGGATCTAGGGCTGCACAAGTGGAAAATAAATACATATTAGATGACTTGTTTTACTCATATTGCAACGTCGATATGATTTGATTTTTGAGGGGATGACAGTTTTTTAAAACATCATTTCAAATATTAATCATAAATAATATATTAAAAAGATCATAGTTGTTATTTTTATTTATTGAGTCAGGCACAATGAGTTACATTTATACGGTCTATATCTTTCCTTCCCCCTCCCCCCCCCCTCCCGGTCCTAGCTAGTAAAGTAAATAAATACATATATAGGTAAAAATAAAGTAATGTAAAAGATATTTTTAAAAAAATAAATCAATAGATAAGGAAATAAAGAATAATAACAACAATACATGTACCCATATACTCGCATGTATACCCACATATACACATATATATATATGTACATACCTACATCCATACCCACACATTTACATACATACATGCATATAAGAAAACATGAATTCATAGTCCCCCCTTTCTTCCTAACGTAGTGTCTTAAGTTCAGCCAAGTAGGCTATCGGACAGATTCAAACATTTCTGAAGAGATATTTAATCTTCTCAAAGTTCAGATACAACATATTTTTTTACTTCTGTTTGTTGGACAGGACTTTTTTTTCAGCTCCTCAATTATTTATATATATTTTTTAAATCATATATTTTGATCAGTTGTTTTATTATTTAGTATTCTGAGCAACGTGCTTCAGTTAACCAATAAATAAAAGTATGACACAAAAGAAAAACAATTCAAATATTGTTTTTCAATGAATTGTGCAGCCCTCTATTGATCCATTTACCCTTTTCTAAATCACCCTCATTAATCTCACTCGTTTTATTATTTGAACTAAATATGTTTTCTGTCTTGTCTCACCCTGTCTCTGTAGCGCTGAGACGCTCCTCCCATTACTCCAACCCCCCTCTTCTCCATAAGGACCATGTCGACCCCCGGCTCCCTCCTCCTGTCCACCCCAGATTCGATGCCAGAACATTCCCCATGGATTTAAGTTACAAAATAAAATCTCTCATCCTGCTCTCTTGGTCTCCTCTGCTCGGAGCGGAGGGACCTGCATGCAGGTCATTGTGACCTCATTGACCGTGTCTTGTCGTCTCAAGCGGATCCCATCTGGTCTTGTTGTGTGTCGTGGAGAACCATTGGCAGTATTTATTCCAGAGACTGTTCCTGTGCAGTACTCCCTGTCGTCCTGCAGCCCTTGATTCAGTTTAAGGCTGTCTTTACACTCTTGCCTTTTAGTCTGGCGTCCTGTCCAGGTCCGTCCGTGCGTCCTTTAGTGTCTGTAAGCCAGTAGATCCTCGTGATAAGTCCCAGGTAGTTGTTTATGTAGAACAATGCAGCCTTACTAAAATACTTGCTCTCCCATAAGTAGCTGCTATCATGTTTAGGTGGCTCCCTTTCACCGGTGGTGCAGTAATATCCCCCTGAAAGTCCTTTTAAACTCATGAGCCACACCCTTTGACTATAGGTCAGTAAACACGCTTTTTCACTGATGGAAATATAACAGCCATTAGATCCCCCACTGAGGTCAAATGGAGTAATCAGTTACATGATTTGGGACGTCTAATGCACGTCTTACTTTGCACATTATGCAGACCAAGTGAGGACAGTGCCTGTGTAAATCCTGCCTCATGTATACTGCTGTTCAACCGGTTAGCATCACTGACAATAAGCTCATTTTGGAAGTCATCATTTGCAGGCATCCCATTGGCTGTGACTTCCTGCTTGTTGGGCCATGCACATTTCTCTCGGTTGCATAATCATAGTTACAATGTTCTCACTCCTTCAACAATACTCATGCGTTTGTATTCCATCGTTTAATGTCGCCATGCTTTGTCTGCTACCAAAGTTAGCATGTTGTCATGAGCTAACATCACCCTCAACAAAGCTAGAGTTCTCCCCATGTGGCTACAGTTAGCTCCTAGTGCTAGCAGGCTGCTGTTAGAGTTGCTGCTTGTAGAAAAACTAAATATGAATACGATCCCTTAACGTATGAGGTTAAAGAAAGAATAATAAATACAAACCAAAATATGTCTAAAAAGAGAACCGTACATTGCTTTGCTTTCCACAAGTCTGAAGAGCAAAGAAAAGACACGAATAGGAAACATTTCAAGCGCTCGTTTCTGACGACACCCCAACGGGTTGCTAATAGAGTAGTTTAATTTGAGCTGTGACTTGAGGACAGCACGTTAACACTGGTACGGTCACAACATCTGGCTCATTGAATGCAGTTGAAGTCGAGTTGAGACTAATCATGATGCTAAAGAACACATTTGAAAACATGTTTAAAAAAGGAAAACTGAACGCGGAAACACGTTGACACCCGTTTTCAACTGTCCTGTGGTTTAGTCGACGAGGCCACATCCTGCTGATTTCTTTTCTTAGTGCCTTGGTTTTGATCTTGTCTGTTGTTTTTAGACTTCACACTTTCTAAATAGAGGTTACTATTCAACACTGTAGTTGTGATTTTTGGAAGGATTGTTTTATTTACTTTTGAGGAAACTCATAAAGCAGTGTTAGCACTGAATCAAAGCGATATCTCATTTTGTTGAAATACTTCCCCTTTTTAGCCCTCCTATGAACTTGTTAGTGTTAACAGTAAAATCAAGAGCATAATGTATGAAGAACATTATAGATTAAAGGTCGCTAAAAAGTGGGAACGTTCTAACATTTTGTCCTGTTGCTTCGAAGGTTGTAAATGGATTTCTTGATCTATTTAATTCACTCTGTGCAGTTGTGTGTATAATTTAATTACCATTGTTGTATAATATTTTAAGCTGTATTTATGTGGTCTGCGTTCTGTGTAAATTGTTCTGAAGGGACGACATGCACACACTCCCCACAACACATTTCATGGTCACCTTTTATGTGAATGCAATGTCCTTTCCTTGACCTGTGAACCACTTTTATCATGAAGAATAAAAACAAGACAGCACTGAATGTTGGTCGTGATCCTTTGAATTCAGACGCTATTGAAACACTGTCATGTCATGTATATAAAAGAATAGTCAATCCAATCAAATGTCGATGTTCAAATGTCGACGTCATCGTACGCCTGCTTGATGGCCTCCGGTGTCGCCAACTCCAAATCTGATTGGTCAATGCAACACTTTCATTGCCATTTGTTTTAATCTACCAGAATCTTTTTATACATCCATGATCTGAAGGTCTCAGGGCAGATTTCTTTGACCCAGCAACACATTCAGACTTAAATATGATTGGATAAAAGCTCCAACATTAACAACCATTACTGGACGCAGCGCCACCGAGCGCAACACAGAGAAAAGCTATACAATGAATTATAGCAAGTTCAAAAACCCTTTATTCAAACACTTTAATCACAAAGCTTAGAGAACCCTCTGCGGCCTGAACACAGGTCCAACAAACTTCATCGCCCAGCATAATATTCATTCTGACTTTTGGCAGAGCTTGTAGATTAAACACATTCAAACCCATTCTGAACTGAATGGTATAAAATTAAATATATTACATTTTACAAACATCACAAATCATCTGAAAGTGAGAAAAGCCTCCCGTCAAAGAAATATATATTATAGTTACGTTTTATATTGTCATACATTCCTAAGTGTGCGTATGTTGTGTCATCACTCACAAAAAGTGAGTGTCAAATCTTCATTATAAAAAATGAATGTCAAAGATAATTAATTGTATTATTAAATTACATTTAATAATAATACAAGAACTGGTGAAAATTCAGCTTCATAAAATACTGGTCCACACTGACTTATTTCACAAGCTCGGCACGAATGCATTCAGTCCCTTTAGCGCCATCTCGAACCCCAGGAAACAGGCCTGAAGGAGGGAGAATGAAGAACATCAGTAAGTAAATAAAAAAAAATACAAATAATTAGAAAAAAGGACTTCAAATAGAAAACAGCTAGTTGCTAAATCAGGGAAAAGCATCTTCTTTTTTGTAAAATATTGTATTTCTGTAGAGATGGTCCCTGACACAAATAACTTAAAATATAGATATTATGTTATGAGGCCTGAAACGCCTGGACTCCTTTGTTTACTTCAGGAACATAATGACATCACTATGTACAACTTGTGCTTCTATGGTTAGCACTTTGTACGTGATAGGCTAAGGGGCGGGACATCTCTAAGCGGTTGACCAATCACAACAGAGCCAGTCCAGCTAACCAATCAGAGCAGACTGGGCTCTGGTTTCAGACAGAGGGTGAAAATGTATAGGAATAGATATATGTTTACCGCGTTGGCAGGAAAGGCTCGTAGAAAGACAGCATTGAATCCTTTGTAGAGCGATTTAGGTCCTTCCTCTCGGAGCAGCGTTCTCAGGACGTCCACCACACCTCTGTACTTCCCATCTGGAGCTACACACACACACACACACACACACACACACACACACACACACACACACACACACACACACACACAAACAATTATTTATATCCATTGAATTTAGCAAATTGATCATAAATAAATAAATCTGAGGGGTCGTGAGGTGATTAATGGGCAAGGAGAGAAGAAGAAAACAACAATACACATATCCCTTTTACATTCTTCTGACCGTTTTTACTTATTGTTCTTATTTACGTGAAGTATCGCAACAACAACCAAAAAGACAAATGTTTTGGGACGAGAGACACCAACTTTTGGTACAAAGTCAAAAGTCAGAGAGTTTGGGATCCCCCGGCTTCAACTTAAACATATTTGAACATCTCATTGTTAATTTAAATAATAAAAGGTTGGTTTGAAAACTCCCTGCAGCTGTCACATAAAGGCAGTTCAGCAGAAAGCCTCTATAGTTGAGTAGAAATTCTGAAGTGAAATTCTAACTACAGCACAGAGCTTAAGCAGAGACGGTTTGAACTCAGAGGCCCCTCTCTTTTCATTTCCTGTGCATCTGGGTTGTGTTTAGAGTGTAGAGCTTCACATCCTCTCTCACCTGTCTGGAAGTTGGACTTGAGGACATCTGGAGGGAGAGCGATCGTCCAGTTTAAAATCCCGGCGATGCCTCCAGCCAGGAGGATCTTTGGAGTGCTGAGCTGAGAAACACTGACACACAAAGACACACATTCAAGTTAAGGAACGATTACAAGGACTTTGAATAGTCTCTGTCCCAAAGGGGGGATCTGACCTGCAGCAGAGCAAAAAAACATATTCAGAAATCAATTAAAAATATGTATTCTCTAGAGTTTGATAAGATAAAGTGTTAGCAGAGTCAAAGTGCATGACGTTTTTTTTTCCAGATGCTTCAAGCTCTCAACTTTCTCTACACTCTGACCTTAAAGAAAGGCCTGAGAGGTGGATCTGTGGATCTACTTTAGACGATAAACATGTCTAGGTTTTGTGGTATTGAGCTGCAGAATTGATCTTGTACAAACTCATCCACAACAGGCCCTGCTGGAGTCATATCTAAAAGCTCTGCACGACTCACCTTTGACCTTCAGGTGTCAGGAAGTTTTTGAGGACTTCATAAGTCAGGAAGTACAGACCGTTTGAAGGCACGTCTGAGAGAGAGACAGAGAACATGTGACCTTAGGATTCATCAACACGCTCATAAAAAATGTTATCATCCTCTACAACAGTGGTTCTCAACTGGTGGGTCGCGACCCACTTTTGGGTCGCGGACCCGTTTAGAGTGGGTCGCAGATGTTTATTTTGAAGGCCCGATTTTCTAACGCTGTGCATGCAGTAGGCGTTGGACTGGAAGTACCTGAGACCATAAACGGTTTTGAAAACTTCTGTCAAGTACACTGCTCTACAACAATGCCTTAAAGATGTATTAAATACGAGAATGTGCCATATGTTGGTTTCTCTTATTACTGATTGTGTAAGGATCCTTAAATCCTAATATGTGGTTGTGATGTGCTTTATAGTGTTTTATGTAGATGTAGCTGTGATGTGATATGTGCAGCATTTGTGTCGAAAGCAATTTCCCTATAGGACCAATATAATAAATCATATCCATCATAAAAAATACAATCTAACTCAATACTCTTATAAATCATTTTAATATTGATACAAATATAAAATATACTTTATACTTTTAATTGCATATTGTGTAAAACAAAGATAGACACAAGAAAATCTGTTGAATCTTTTTCTGTCTTTTTCAAAATGACTGATTGAGTGAAAGTATTTTATTCTAAAGAAATTAGGACACATGGCAAACATTGTGTCCATCTATTCTATTTGATATATTAAAAGTGTACAGGTTGCAATTTGTTTGGCTTTTCACTGGCTATTCCTTTGACCCCAATACTTTGGTATTTTGAAATGCACGAGTTGATACAGAATACTGATACTTAGAATGTTTAAAGATGACAACAAGGATACCTCTGAGGTCAGACCAAGGTCGGATGGATGAGCCTTAAAGGTCCCATGTCATAGCTATTTCTACTGATCATAATTCCATTGTTGAGGTATACTAGAATACATTTATATTGTGCAATTTTCCAAACTCACATTGGTTTCTCACGCAGCATCTCTGTATAGTATGTGTATTCACTCTCTGTCCTAAACGGCTTGTTGGAGCTCCTGCCCCCCCTCCCTGTGAGCCCAGTGGCCGTCTGCGGGACAGCGAGACACAGCGAAACCCAGCCCAAACACACACACACACCCGCAGCCTGGCTGGGAGTTTGTGTGTGTGCCCAGGCTGAGTTCCGCGGTGTCTCGCTGTCTCGCCGACCCCACACCAGTGAGCCGGCTCACAGTGTCCCGCTCCTCGCAGCAGCGAGCCTCGCAACGTCCCGCCGAGTGTGTGTGTGTGTGTGTGTGTGTGTGTGTGTGTGTGTGTGTGTGTGTGTGTGTGTGTGTGTGTGTGTGTGTGGTGTGTGTGTGTGTGTGTGTGTGTGTGTGTGTGTGTGTGTGTGTGTGTGTGTGTGTGTGTGTGTGTGTGTGTGTGTGTGGAAGTCTGCGGATTGGTCCAAACGTAACGGCTCCGCGGACGTAACGACCAATCTGCGGAGCCGTTACGTCACTATACCCAAGAAGTAAACAATGGAAAAAGATAAATGTCCAACGAGGCGTTCTGGGGCAGCACAGACAGGTCTTTTCTGTGTTAGAGTTTTACTCGCTACAGGGTGTACTTTGAGGGTTTGTGACTCTGCACCGTTTACATGCAGAAAAACCTTCATAACACAAGGGGACGGGTAATAACCAGAAAAACATGACATGGGTGCTTTAAAAGTGTACAGGTTGCAATTGGTTTGGCTTTTCACTGGCTATTCCTTTGACCCCAATACTTTAGTATTTTGAAATGCACGAGTTGATACAGAATACTGATACTTAGAATGTTTAAAGATGACAACAAGGATACCTCTGAGGTCAGACCAAGGTCGGATGGGATGAGTCTTAACTAACATTGTAATTGCAAGACTCTGAATTTTTACACTGTAGTAGTTTTAGTTAAGTTAAGAATACACCGTGATGTTTACCTCTGATGAGAGTTAGCACCGTCCCTTTGTACACGCTGCGGATCCCCTGAGTCTTATAGAGGCGGATCGCACAGTCCACAGGACCAGCGTACCTGGAGCTTCCCCCGCTGGCCTGCACCTGCAACACACATTTAATGCTTTCATTATTTAAAAAAGGGTTTAGAGAGTCGACGATGCAGATGACTTGACTTTCTGACTGCAACATTTGCAAGCCTTCTATTAGTATTTTAGAAAGTGATTTTACTAAGTACTGTACTACAAATGAGGTACTTGTACTTTACTTGCTTTCATTTGACAGGGTGGTTTACAACTCTAAAGTTTAGAGATTTTGCATACACAAACTTAATTGAGCTTATAAAACGTAGTTGTAAGTCAAACTAAGTAACAGAATACAAGTCCATATTATATTTTCTGATAAGCCTTTAAGTTGTTTTTCATTCAAAATGCTAAACCTATCAGATTTCCAGATTCTCACATGTGAACATTTGGTGATTTAAATGATCAGAAATTGGATTT